AGCCAGTTGGCCTTTTCCGCTGCTTTCTGACTCTCCGGGGTCTGCTCGAACTTCTCCATGCGGGCCGCCGTCTCTTTGAGCATCAGACGAAAGAGCTCGGATTTGAGGCTGCAGTCGACCTTCATCTGATCTCGGAGCTCGTTCCACCTCAAGGAGGCCCGAATGAGTGGCTTGAGTATGCCATGCGGTGCCGCGCTGATGTGAAGAAGGAAGCACTTCTCCTGTCTGATCTCGCTTAGCTCCGTCTCCTGCCTCAGACAGAGCTTGGCTAGAGCATAGACGGCAGCCTCCACATCGAGACCCTGTGCATCCCGCCAGGAGCCCTGCTGAGGCCCGAAGGGGCGGAAGCGGGTATCCTGATAACCGCCCCATGTGTTCTCCTGCTGTCTCTGGCCTTTGCTCTTGTTCTTGCCCTTCCCCTTGCCTGCACCTTTCCCTTTGGGCGGAGGTATCATGTCGGGATCCGGTCTGGAGCGCTTGTTGGGATTGTTTTCCCCGAATCCTCCTTCCGATATGACCTCTTTCAATGCTGGGAACAGCGGCCCTAGCACCTCCTCCATGACTGGTGCGAGCTTGTCTCCGTTCAGGTCCTACGTGAAGATGTTTTAGAAGACAAAACTGAAAGAGTACAGGGCAGAAGGGCGCATGATCTTTGGCAATGCGGGAGGTTTTTAGGCAATATGGGCAGGTTTTATCGGCAGTAGTAAGGAGGGCCTTACATTCACGACTGAGAGAATCAGTATCAACCCAGGCTTGAGGGTGTGCTTTGTGGAGATGCGTTTTGAGCGATCGAAGATTGGGCTGTGATTGAGCACAGATGCAACAATGCTTGAGCAGGAACGTTCTCTGTTCTTCAGTAGGTCGTGGCTGCGTCGGCACTGCCATAGCAATCTTCAGTTGTTCCCCACTTTTAAGGACGAGGTGGTGCTGCTGCAGCTGAGGGGTCTGAGTAGGCGGAAGGCTGAGCTCACTGAGGAGCACAAGCTGGAATAGGACCTGGCAGTTCTGGGCATGAGCCCGGGCGGCTCTTCTATCAGCAAATGTGGGGGCCAAACAGAAAGGGCAGCCAGCACGACTCGTGACATGATGAGCAAAGGACAAGCACTTGTGCTCAGCCTTAGACCCAGCCTGCTTCCACTCCTGTGCGTGCGAGCCACGAAGATGAATCTTCGTACCTCCACGTTGCGGTGTCCATTGACGNNNTGACCGCATGGTCGCGGTGGATGGGCAGAGGCTCCCTTCGACACGGTGCAGGGGCATCCGCACCTGGTGCATGGGCAGACTCCGTCTCTTGAGTAGGGCACGAACAACTCTTGGCAGCCCTTTCAGTAGGAGGGACAGTGCATTGTGTGTTTGGCACCAATTCTTTTACAACCTCTGTCCCACCGCTCTCAGGGACAGGAGGAAGGGTGGTTGCAGTGAGGGCTTCAGAACGTGTCGGAGGGGTACTATGAGCATCCGAGGGCGAATGAGCTCGAGAGGTGCACACTTTGTCATAGATGTGTCTCTGCA